GGATTATACTAAAACGTATGAAGGCTGGCCAAATGGCAGCTTTACTTGCTTTAGGCGACACAAATTTTTTATACATTTTCGGGAGTTTTCTAGGAAAGTAATTGCTAATGTTAAGGAAACAGCACTTGAGTTTTTAACCAGATAGCTGGTTACATTGTGCTGTCAAAGTAACGGTGTTCTTACACGATATGTGTGTATTTGTATGTGTACATGCCACTTTGTACATATGGAAATGCCAACATCGTGTAAAGACAAATTATATTTGTTTCTGTAGAAAGCAGATGCACGTCCTTACGAAATAGAAATGTTTATATTTTCATCTGACACACAGATAGAATCATCTGAGTTTAGGTTATTTCGTTTTCAAAAAAACGTATTTGTAAATAGTTAAATAAAGACTTTAACACTTTAAGCAAGGCGTGCAAAGCAAGCCGGCATTAGGCCAGCGCCTTTAGGAAAAAATCAGTTGATGCCGGAACTTTTAAATATTCTAATAAATCAGCCTCATTGCGTAAGTCGTAAATTAGGCTAAATTGTACGACTCGACAACATTGGCATTGTTTACTGTCGTGCTGAAAAAAGTGAACGACGAAATTTGTCGAAAACTATACAGTGCTGCCATGTTTTTCCGTTTTAATACACTAGTCGAGTGGAAATTTTAGGCAATGACGTGAAATTTTCGATACGATTCGTCTCTCGAAAAACGACTTGCATACGACACCACTCTCGCAATGAGGGGGATTATTTAAGTAATGTTTGCTTTACTAGTAATCCAAATATGAGCAACTTTGAACATATTCTATTTAATTGTGGTTTGAATTAAATCCGCGCCTAATTATAATAGTTTTTGGCTTTCATTTCTGACAAGGGAACGTACCTATACTACGTGACCCACTTTTTGCAAATTTTAACCCCGGTAAAACTGGCACATACATAAATATATGAAGGAATGCACTCAGGCGACGGCTCTAGCCATTGTGTGTCACAGATTTAAGTTATCGATGGAAATTTTTTTTACAGCCAATTTCACGAGAGCAACTTAAGTGAAAAATTATTTTAATTTTTTTGAATATTATATGGAAATTGACAGCAAATAAAAAATCATTTTCCCTTTAAATTGCTGGTGGAACCGGCTGTTTATTTTCTCAACATTAACTTGAAAGTTAAATATGTACGTTTTTCAGATTTACTTTGTTTATTATGGGGTTTTCATGCATCTTCCTAGTCGCCAGGGTATACCGACGGATCATATAGTAGAGGTATACGCCGCCGAGCCACGCCGCCGCCGCCGTTTTTTGTCATTCCTCACGCGCCGCCGCCGAGTTACGAAAATATCGGCGCGGCGGCGGCGTTCGGCGCCTACTGAATTTTGTACAAAATTTTCATGATGTATGTACATTGAATACATCGTTTGAAGGAACTAAATACTACTTGTATAAAACACAATTTTACGAAATGAAAATTACATTTTTAAATGAGTTTTTTTTACATAATTTGGGCCACTGGACAAGAATATGATCTCCTTTATTTTTTCAAAAATAGAGTAACTCAAAAAAATATAGGTAACATATTTTTCGACGAAAGCGTTTATTACAGTTAAATTAGGGTCGAATACTGGTAATCTAACGATTTTTTCCGTAGTAGACAATTCTTTTCAATACTACAACAATACTACTTTTTTATACACCTACTACAACAACAAGAAAGTTATAACACATCAAAAACTTTAACGCCAATATCTCAGAAAGCAGTTATAATAGAAGCGGCCTCTTTGCATCTAACTCCTCAATTATAATTATTGGAGATAAAACAAAGACAAGTTGATTTTTCTATGTTTTCTACACGGGGTTAAAGTTCCCTCTTTATGGTAAACATTAGTATTATTAGTAGTTCGGTTCTCCTTAGAAAAATTTGGCGCTTCATATTTTAGTATATTTAGTTTTAACCATCTATAAGCCATTTTTTTCAACAGTGGGTCAAAAAGATTAAGATTATTGCAAACATTTATTGAGAGCGACATAAATTACCCCAATAACTAAACTTTTAAAGTTTTTTATTTCTTTAAATTTAAATAGTACAGAGAGCATAGAGATCCGTGTGTGTATGTATGTATATACCTCAGACCTTCTTCTGTTCGCCCATCAATCAACGCCAGACACTCAACATTTTAATTCAAGTAGGAAGTAACAATATTTAAATTTAAAACTAATTCAATAATGAAATAATTGAATTATAATAATAGAATAATTGGCATGGCGAATGCCTAACGCTGACGAGTTGAAATGATAAGATCAATAGCCTCATGGCTCTTTGAAATCTACCTTATGAGCAGTAGCGCCGGCCGCCGCCGAATATTTTTGAAGTTGACCACGCCGCCGCCGCAAATCCTGTCGGCGTAAACCTCTATCATATAGTGACTTCACGTGGCGTTATATTACATGCCGAATAATCTGTTTGATTAAATGCGTGTTGTATAGACCGCGGTTATGGATTTCTATACGGTGTCAACAGCAAAGGTTCTAGAGCATACTCGGCACCGCCTAATAACCACGAATGGTCGATACTTGGGTCGTTTTCACCAACTCTGGTTAACACTAATCCCCAGTTAAACATCGTTACCTACATCACTGACTCCATGCACACAAGATTGTGTCGGCAACGTCGACAATGGTACGGTGCTCCTTCCCAAAGCGATGATGGTCCATTCGCTTTGCTCCCAGGAATGGAACGTTTTGTGCACATAAGGCTGCAAGTCACCCAAAATCTGGAGGACCCAGCAAACACAGTCTAACGTTACAGAAATTTGGATTTCTACATTAGATAACTAGGGTAATTCACTAATCGTTCTCGAGTCGATGACAAAGTTAGAAAACTACATTAGAATTCGATTCGAGAACTATTACAGAAACAACGCAAATTAAAATAAATGTAAATAAGTAATTTTCCAAATGAATGAATCATAAATTATTTTTAAGTTCAAATAATTCTTTATTATTTTATTGAAAATACAATTTATACAAATTTTACAAACAAAGCGTTTTATTTAATAAAGAAAACAGCAGTTTGATATTCACATTCGAATCCCATTAGAGATAAAAGTTAGAACTCGATTAGAGAGTTATGACTCTCGATCGTTTTTCGAGTCGTTCTCTAACATTTGAGATTGGAGAATGTGGCTGGTTGTCCAGTCATTCTCAACTAACCTCAGTGTTTGCTGGGGAGTGATGGTTTGAAATAGCAAAAGAGAAAACAGTTTTTTGCATACTACTTACTTACGCAGAGTTCGATAATTCCATGGGATTACTGCGATCGCGCAAAATTTTTCGCCTCAATTTTTGATTTGCTTGTTGCTCATTATTGAGCAAAACAGCTAATAAAACAATTGAACTCATTTTAGTTTTACTTTCTAATTTTTTTCAAATGAATTTTGACACTTTAGAACACAATTCACAAGTAGGAGGTTTGTTCCTTTTTTCTACAATCGGATTCGATATTCAGCCTCATTGCGAGAGTCGTGCCGAATGCAAGTCGTTTTTCGAGAGTCGAATCGTATCGAAAATTTAGCGTCATTGCCTAAAATTTCCACTCGACTAGTGTATTAAAACGGAAGAACTTGGCAGCACTGCATAGTTTTCGACAATTTTCGTCGTTTACTTATTTCAGCCCGACAGTAGACAATGCTAATGTTGTCAAGTCGTACAATGCAGCCTAATTTACGACTTACGCAATGAGGCTGATTAACTTCGAAACAAAAGTTCCGATCGTAATGTGGAACACCATTTAAATTCCGACACCGATTGCAGAACAGGGCTGTTTGTCAGTTACAGAGTGATGTTGTATGAAAATTCTTTTATTGAGCTGAACTCAAGTTTCTAAGCAGAACCACTCTGTGACTGCCAAAATATTCGAATCTGTATAAATGTACAAATCGTGTGATCCCTGCTTTATTTTCATGAGTGACTGTCCAAGGCATTCTACATCGTGTGCTATTCTACATTCCTGAGATCATTGAGGCATCCTCTCGTGCATGGATTAAGCGGTGGACCGCATATTAGCTAAGTGGACGATAGTCGTCAGTAATTTTTTTGGATCAATCTCAAAGGCAAGAAGAGCTAAACAAAGGGTTTCATTGGGTGGTGTGCTACTCCCTGTACTGTTTAACTTCTATAAATCGAAGCTTGCTCAGCCAGCGGAAGGGTTTCCCTGTTCCCGTATGCTGACGATTGCTCGATACTGGCGGCCGCAAATGAAATTGATGATCGGTGTTCGAAGGTAAACGCCCTTAAGGATCATTATCGCTTCTTAACTACACGGAGCCTAACCCTCTTTTACGAAATCATCGGCACCGTCTTTAACAGCTGGGCGAAGAGATCAAGGCATCCACGCCGATAGCACACTCATTCCGACAGTAAATAACCCCAACATTTTAACGGTTACCTTTGACAGCTTGTTCTCCGCAAATGCAACCCCGATTTCAAACAAAGTACACAGCCGCGACAAGGGCCTAAAATTGCTCGCCGGCAGCACGAAGTTGCGAACTTTTGAGAACGGCGCATTCCGGACATCAACGGAACGCCTTATGATGTTGCCTGAATATTTGGGTAATTTCAAGCATTTTTGCCAAAGCAACCATAAGGCTAAAAAGAATTTCGAGCCAGCGGTTTTTTCTTTCTGGCTTTTTTTTTTCAAAAAGTGGCCCGTTGAAACAGCTGTATTGAAAACTAGCCAAAATGTATATCTCAAAATTTTTGGGGTCGAAGAAACTATTTCTGGCATTAATTTTTTCTTTTGAGGGCCGCCAGAGGGCGCTTTCGTACTTTTTCTTTTAGATTTTAACGCATTTTTTCCGAAAATCGACAACATTTCTCAAGTTTTCACAAGTTTTCTGTTACTATGTAGCAACTTCAATAATCCGTGAGGTTTAGATCGTAGTATTTATTGATTCCATAATACGATGTGAGTCTCTAGAATCATGTTTTCTTTTCTTCTCTATTTTCCAGATTCAGAAATCAGTGAGTGCCCGTCTGGAATACAATACCAAACTGGAACAAGATGACATGGAAGGTGTGGACGAAAATGAGTGGCAAGAGGATTAAACATGTTTATTAAAAAATTAATGACCATTACAGCCACGGCGCTGAACGCTTGGTGCGTTCATGCCAAAAAGGCTTTTGTGGTAGAGAATGCGGTTGGCACTTCGATCTTGGCATTTAGAAATATGCTAAGTCAATATACATATGCATATGTGCGAGTATAAGAGTAGACTTCCTTTTGATAAGTGGTTAGCTTTTATGTGCATGCATACCTATCCATACAAATATTTTTGCTACAATTAAAACTTATATTCGTTTTCATATTAACATACATTCTCATGAAACATTCGAAGCAAAAATGCATATACAAAAGTAAGCACATATGCATACTTACATTTTTATGTATTTACGAGCAACAGTTAAACAGTATAAACATCCTTCTGAAAAACATTAAGAAGGACTTCCAAAACGAAAATTTTGGCAGCAATAGAAAAAGTTTATGTAAATTAAATAGTAAGAAACATTTCCAGGGACGAAATTCTTTAGAAACATAAAAGGTATAAAACATAAAGACTGCATATAAACGTATTTTAGTTAGTGTGAAAATATTTATGTGAGCCAAGGACTTTTCTTTAATCCACATTCATATTATAACATCATTATTTTTAATCAATACTCAAGATTTGCCAAAAAATAATCGTGCATGTGTAAATTTTCGCGTTCCACATATAAGGCAAGAGAAATGATTTATTTACTTATTTTATTTTTCTAAATGAATTGTATTCGCGCTGGTCACTAAAGAACCTACTCTAAATTAATGGTTAGAGTTATAATTATGGCTTTGTTCGCTTTGATGCTACATGGAAATGGAATGACAGTAGGGCTTTTACTGTTTTTTTTTTTTGACAAAGGAATGCGTTTTTACACTGTTGCCATATGAAATGCAAATTCCTTTTGGTTATTTACAATTGCATATATTTAAATTTATATTTATATACAAGTATATATGTATCTTTAGTAGTTATATATTGCGCATGTATTTTGCAAAATATAAATACAAACATCCACATAAAATTAAGGCTTACAAATTTATGTTATGTATTTTATACAACTGATGTCTGACATACATGCTAATGAAATGGTAATAATAATTATTATAAATTATAATGACAAAGCTGATGTGACAACTTTTTCTCTTTAATATACATATTTATAATTATCTGTAAATTTGAACTCTAAACGGAGATTATGCATTAAAAATATATATATAAATCAAGAAAAACATATGCTCTCTCGTCTTCGTAGGAAGATATTTCTAAAATTACACACTTTTTCCGGCACCAATTATAAAGATTACCTTCAAGCAAACAAGCGGTAAATCAAGGTTCAATAGTTTTAACTGCAGCAATAATGGTTTCGGAATTTTTTTTTGGGGTATTTCGCTGTATTTGAGGAGCCAAATTAAAAGCTATATTTAATTAGGTAATACTCAACAGAACTAAGATGTTAATTATCGCAAAATACGAGTATCACAAAACAGCGTTCAAAAAAAAAAACTAAAAATAAATAAAAATAACAATGTTTCCTAGAACCCAAAAACTGTCGCAGCGTAGCGACAATTCGGCTTTATTTTGGCCAATCAAAGAAGTGATTTTGTTAATAATAAATTCCCCATTTTTCATAAAGGGATTATTGCAAAAAAAGTATAGGGAAATGAATATTACAATACTTTGACCTATATTAAAGGACGTCACTAACTTCTTAATCGGAAAGAAAATAAAGGTTTTTAATTGGCCCAAGTCACGTGTTTCGACCCATAGATATTATTTAGAAATATTCATCCATTTGGCGGTAGTTACTCTCGGTCATCTAAGAAACTCTTTTAGGGTAATGATTGCATTTCGTCACAGAACTTCTCAAATATGTATATATACAGCCCTATTCTGCATTTCGACGACATTCCCGAATTCCGCTCCGAAACAATCGTAATTTCGATCGAATGGAAAGAAGAAGAGGAAGAGCGAAAACATCTTCGAAATCAGCTATTTGCCTAGGAATATGTGAAATCGAAATAAAACAAAAGAAATATTTGCCACCAAACTATAGGAGCTTATGAAGTTAAACTTTGCAAGTATTTTAAAATAACTAAATATATTTAACATCATTCTTAATTTAAGTGGAAACATAATTATAAGAATAAAATACATAGCCGCGGCGTTATTGCTTTAAGAGGCGAACGAGTCCCAGATTGCTGATGCGGAAGTTGAAAGGCGGAGATTTATGGACATGTTTGATCGTTTTCAGCTCAGTGAAGAATCATAAGAAATTCATCTTGAACTGCATTAATCACCGCTCAAAGCCAGTGAAATTATAAATGTTGTTTGAGCACTCCACAACATTTGCATTTACTACAGGGTGAAAGATTTGAATGCAAAAGAATTCGATTTTGAAAGCCGTCAGGAGGAGGGGAAGAACAAAGCTTATCCTTCCATAGCTAATCGAATTCGAAACAACAAACCTGTTTCTAAAAAGTTAGTAAAAACGAGAGCAATAATGAAAAACATATTTTTTTATGTAACTCTACTTTTTATGTATGTGTTAGGGCTGTGCGATTATTCGATTACTCGAGCAAGTTGGTTAATCAATTATTCGGTTAATCAATTACTCGAGTAATCAAGATTTCGATTACTCAAAACGATGATTAATCAAGTTACTTGAAATATGATTACTCAAAAAAATAATTTTGCTCGTTAATAGAGTTTGCCTTGGAAAATGCTGATTTTCTTTTTTACATTCTGTATATGAAAAAAATTTTTTGTTTTAATTTTTGAAAACAGAAACGTTGTTTTCAAAGTATCCAGGAACTTTAACTACTTTATACATATGTAAAGAGTTGAAATGTTGATTACTCATTTTACTCGAAATGTTGATTAATCATAAAGCATTTTACTCAAATATTTTTGTTTTTGGTTAATCAAAAATCTTGATTACTCGAGTAACTGAACTTTTGAGTAATCATAATTTCCAATTAATCGAATAATTGAGTTATTTACTTTATGATTAATTAAAATTTTGAGTAATCAATTAATCGCACAGCCCTAGTATGTGTGTATGTACGAGAGTTGTGAAAAATGCATTAATTTTTTAATGCATGCCATTTTAATGTAAATGGAAAAAATTAATGCATTAATTTTTGAAATTTAATGTAAATGAAAATTTCAATGCATTAATTCCGCAGAAATAATGCTGATGATTTTTTTGTATTAACATTAAAATGTTTAAATGAATGCTGTTGCAATAATTTATTGCATAAAAATTATAACAAGCATTAAAAACTAGGGCTGTGCGATTAATTGATTACTCAAAATTTTAATTAATCATAAAGTAAATAACTCAATTATTCGATTAATTGGAAATTATGATTACTCAAAAGTTCAGTTACTCGAGTAATCAAGATTTTTGATTAACCAAAAACAAAAATATTTGAGTAAAATGCTTTATGATTAATCAACATTTCGAGTAAAATGAGTAATCAACATTTCAACTCTTTACATATGTATAAGGTAGTTAAAGTTCCTTGATACTTTGAAAACAATGTTTCTGTTTTCAAAAATTAAAGCAAACAATTTTTTTCATATACAGAATGTAAAAAAGAAAATAAGCTTTTTCCAAAGCAAACTCTATTAACGAGCAAAATTATTTTTTTTGAGTAATCATATTTCAAGTAACTCGATTAATCATCGTTTTGAGTAATCAAAATCTTGATTACTCGAGTAATTGATTAACCGAATAATTGATTAACCAACTTGCTCGAGTAATCGAATAATCGCACAGCCCTATTAAAACCCCATTTACTAATTTTATTTTGAAGTAAAAATTCTTTGCTGACGTTGAGGGTAGAATTTTAAGGTCAAAAGTGACGGACGTTAAGGCTGGTTTTCACTATGTCAAGATCAATGGCATTTGTCGTTAAATAGGTAAAAACACATTGTCAAATGGAACTATAAAACGGTTTAATGATTGATTTAGATCAGAGTAGGTCTTCAGTCGTGTACATGTGCTGCTAAATTGGGTATCTGTCCGTTTTTGGCCCATAATATATGTAATCGGTATGCACCAACAATCAGCATTAAAATCTACAAAAGCACATTGCTTTTATTTTCATAAAACATCTAATAATGTTTAGAAGAATTTTTCAACAAATTTACATAACATAATGAAGCTGAAAAAACTATTAGTCATTATTCTAAGTGCTTCCAAAAACTAGAAAAAAATTTAATGGTTTTTAATAATGCAAACGAGCAAAAGTATTAAAAGTTTTGGTGCATTAAAATTTTTTTCATTAGCATTAACTTGGACAATTTAATGAAACAAAATTTCATTAGCATTACATTTTTCAAAATTAATGCATTGAAATTTTCATTTGCTTTAAATTTCAAAAATTAATGCATTAATTTTTTACATTAATATTATTGCTTTAAATACCATTAATGCATTAAAAAATTACTGAATTTTTCACAACTCTGGTATGTACATCTATTAATTTTATATAAAAAGAACAAATTGTATTCAGTGCATTTCACAGTCTTATTTTAAGTTAATGAAAACAAAAACTTCTGGACTTCCTCTTTGAAAACCCCGCGCAATATCCCTTTTGGTTTCCATTATTTGAGCCTATTTTTCGTATTGCCGCTCGCGAAAACACAGAAATCGAGAAATTTCATTTATGATGACTTTTACAATCATGCACAGTATATTTTACTTAATTTTTTATAAAATTGTATTTAAGCCCACGAAAATAACATTCGAAACGTTCTCCGTCAACAAATTTGCAACTTGGAAAAACGAAACTTCGATCGAAATGTAGAATAGGTATAATCGTAAATTTCAAAGATTGATCGAAGCGAAACGGGTCGCAGAATACCAAAGTTGCCAAACGCAGAAAATTTCGATTCGAGTCGAAATGCAGAATACGGCTGATAATAATCTGGTTAGTCTAGTTTTCTCTTTTGAGTCAAAATTCGTGAAATCGATGACTAAAATTTGGTTTTGATTTTAAACAAACTAAAGTTCGTGAGCATGGAAAGGAATTCCCGAAATATGACCGCAAAAATATTAATTTTGCTAGTTTTTGACATACAAATATTTTATAAGACATGATCATTTAGACTTGGCGCTGCATACATAACGTCTTCGGTTTTGAGATTTTTAAACCAATTCAAAATTAATTTCAAAAATCAAATAAATGTATTGAAAAATCGAAATATTACAAACACTACGCATGCAGTGCCAAGTTTAAATGGTCGCATCCCAACAAACATTAGGTTAGAAAATGATTCGAAGGTTAGAGGACGATTAGAGAAACTATCGACATCTATAGCATTTTCTACAAAAAGGACTTAGTTCGTCGTATTCCAATGTGGTATTCTAATTAGTTTCTAATTTCCAGCGCTTTTCTAATCATGCTATTATCGAATTCGAACATAGTTCTCTAACCTGATTTTCGACTCGAGAAACTTAAGAGAACTACATTAGAATTCTAATGTTAAATCAAATGTTTCTCTAGTGCTGTGTTTGCTGGGTAAATATAAATATTTTTCCGCATACCATAAATTGGAGGAGAAACTCGGCCAAATACTAACATATTTAGGTTGTTCACGCTTGCCTGGTTAACACCTTATTTGGTTATATTTTTTTATTAAGTTTACATACACTACACAATAATAATTTTTAACCAGATAACCAATCTTTAACCAGAGCGCAAATCTAATGTTATTATCAGGGAACTGATTTTATGGAAATTGCCTTTTTTTCTGCTAAAGAGATAAAGTATATTTGATTAAGAATGACAAGATTTGGCTTTCCCTGATTCCATATATGCACATTTGATGTTGCGTTTTTTTTCCGTTTTTTTATGATATCTGCTTTTTTGCCTATTGTAGCTAGTGTTGGGCAGTATCGATACCAAAAGTACTCAGAACTCGATTCTCAAAGGGATTGACAGCACCCGATTTTTAAAATTATCGATACTGAGTACTCCAAAGAACTCAGTCCTCATAAAATAACACGAAAGTACTAAGTACTCAAAAAAGGAACTCGAAAGTACTCAGCACTCAAGAATGATAGAATACAAGATTGCGCCGTCCTGGGCGTTGACATTTGTGTACCAGAAGTAAACAAAGAATAGAGCGAAAAGAAGAACGAGTTGAAACAGCCAAAGCAGTTCAATTTACTGCGAAAAACGTGTTGTAATTTTGCTAAATGCGAAAATATTGCATTTTTCACCTAATCTATTAGAGAACAGTGAACATTGTAGTGCACTCCATTGCTTTGCAATTGAGGCTGCTTCAGCAAACGTTTTAGTGCACTCCATTGCTTTGCATTAAGGCTGCTGCAGAAAGCTGCAGCAGCGTCTCTGCGGGACTGATAAGTTAACTAGCTAATGGAGGCTGCGTGGAGCAGAAACAAAATCATTGTGAGGAAATGCTATTTATATAATAATAGAGAAACATTTCGGGAACGGCTTTGCCGTGCCCTATGTACACAAAATGCAG